GGGTTGTTCAATTCCATCTAGGTTGTGAACCAACGATTCTTGTTTTGCAAGTAACTGATATAGTGATCTTCGGTACGCCCGATGACGACCCACTTATCTACATGCAAAACCACAAAACGTGGAACTCATTTAACCAAACATAATTCTCATTCATCAAAGAATAACAAGTGTAATATCCACTAAAGCAAAGCTTAAGTATATAACACCAACAATTCATACTAGAGCTGAGCATAGAACACGGACAATTTCGAATTGCCCAAAAATAGAACCGAAATAACTTCGAATCGAAAAATAACCGTTAATTTGACTTTATCTAAACCAAACAAATCGAATCGAAAAAATTAATTGGTACTGCTCTGGTAGTTTTATAAATATCTGTATCAAGAACCAAACACCATCTCATACCGTACTGACCCTAAATCTGCGTTATAATATTAGATGTGTCTTGTTCATATATTTTATATCAACTTTCAATCTTATACAGTTTGAGTATTTTTAAATACGTAATAACATATAGTATTAATATAATTTCATTTAATTTCATACTTAATAATACTCGAATCTCGATCTACAATTATATTATTTATTATTATTTTTTGAAAAATGTGTTCATACTATATTTGTTCATACTTTTTTTAATCTTACTAAATTATAATTAAATGATATGAAAAGTTAAAGAAATACATAAAAACACAATTATGTTATATTTGTTTGGATTTCAAATTTCCATTTTTAAACTTGATAATTGTAAGGTCTTAGCCATTTTGAAGTCTGTAGTTCTGTTAACCGTGTTCTTTCTCCAAATTCTCGTGACATCTGCACGATCTTTTCACTTGCAACATCAAAAATAAAGAAAATAAATTAGCAATAAATTTTATATGCATTCTGATGATAATTGTGTATAAAAATAAACACTTACTCGGGACTCTGGGTTACATCGAATATGTACTTCAAAACATTTTTCTCTTCAATACTAAAATCCGCTTCAACGCCCTAATAAAAAAATAAATCATGAAGTGTGTTGCAGGCGGGAAACTTTGATCAAATTTTTAGATGTACATTGTAAGAGAACATACGCATACGAAAAAATATATTACCTTTGCATGACTCTTCAAGGGACTTTTTGTGTCATTCTTCGGTCTGATAAATTTGGAAGAAACTTCTTCAAAAGCATTGGAAGCATTTGATTCTCTGTATCTTTCTCTTTCACCTTCTTTCCCTAAGTCTAACGGGGTTTCTAAGGATGAATCACTTAACACTATATGCACCTTATGTGATTTCTTCTATATTCATGAGAATGGGTTGGACTAATAAATGCTTCATGATCGATGCCTTGTGTTAGATTGATCTTTTGACAATAACATCTCAACAATTTCATCAGTAATCAAGCCTTTAAGAAAATTCACCAAATCAAACAATCCATCTAACTTCGTATCGATATTGGCCATGCGACTAAATATACCATTCACCTTTTCTTCCAAACTAGTTAATTTTTTCTCCAATCTTAAGGCTCCATCTTCAACTATAACTCCAACCTACGCATAATTTAATTTAAAATAAATAAAAATAACGCTTAATTGCCTACACAAGAATAATAATGCAAGTGTAAGCGTCCGGGTCCGGTTTGGAGTAGATCGATTCTTGTCCTTGCCGGTAGAACGCCGGAAACCTGCAAATAACTCTCGCACCGGGGGTTGGGTCCGGTGAAGAGCCTCCGATGCTTAAGTCAGTATGTGTATGAGTATACTGGAATTTAGAGAATGAATAGAATGTGTTAAGGAAGAAAGGCTCACCCCCTTTATATAGGGGTGAGATACCTGCCCTAATAGCTGCCCGGATAAGGCTAAGTTGGCTGCCCAAGCTGCCCGTCCGTACTCTGACACGCCGCGCACATGTCAGAGGTGGCGCAAGGCGTTGGGAGCTGTCAGAGGTGGTTATCGCTATCACCCAATACATCGTCGACACGCGTCCCTCCTGCACATGGGATAAATATTCTCCTGAAGCTCAGTCAGAGACCCTCACGCGCGTCTGCCATACACGCGTCTAGGTTTATGTTGATCAGTTTGCTCGATCACTCAGCTTGCTCGATCAATCATCTGATCGATTGATGGGTAGCTCGATAAGTCTGATCGAGTGCCAGGCTACTCGATCGTCTGTGCGGTCGGGCCTTTGGCTGCCCGAGCGCCTGTGTGGTCGAGCCTTAGGCTGCTCGATCGCTTGTATTCCCGCCTTTGGGCTTGGTTTGCTCCCGGTCTGCTCTTTTCAACCGGATCACCAGATCGGTCCGTCTTTAGGCAGATAATATCCTATATCAAGATGCATCATTGAAAGATAGAGAACTTAACATTGATTGTTTCGGCTTTTTCTAAATTAATACTTCTAGACCTTTTCGTTCCCATCTTTCAGTAAGCTACAAAACATTCAATCATAATTGAAATCGCACACGCATATATTCATGAAACAAAGATTTCTCAATGGTGAGGGTTGTTTTGATCGACCGTTTTTTTTCTTGCAGGCTATGTCTAATTCTGATGAAAAGGGCTCGAACCTAGTCTTGAGCGACGCCACTTGACGGCTGACGCTGGGGAATCATCATTGTAAAAGATTCTCCAATTTGTTCTTCTTTTGTTGGTACAAATACTTATAATGACTATGAAAATTCTATAACTTCTTTCTTCTGGTTGTAATACTGTGTACTGAGTGCTATAATTATTGTTGATTCATCTCAAGAATGTAGTATGTATTTGGTAGGATCCTTCTCCACACTTCATGAATATATTGTTTTGGGTTGTTAGTCCATCTCTTTAAGTTGTTGCTATTTTGTGGAGCAATGAGTTATTCGCATGGAAGTTCGGCTTATGAGGATAAAGTTGTGCATGAGATGGATATCACTTGTAATTGTGGTAGCAGAGTGTATTTGACAGCTTCTTGGACCGGAAGAAATTCGGGAAGGAGATATTGGGCATGCCCTAAATATGGGGTAATTCTCTATTGATACAAACTTGTATTTTTGTTATTTCATTCTTGGTTTATAGATTTACTTGGAAACTGTCTAATACCTCTAAAAAATGTACAGAGTTCTGGCTATTGTGGTTTTTTTATGTGGTTTGATTCTGAAATGTGTGAAAGAGCAAGATCAATTATACCGAGTTTATTGGATAAAATGTATAAGTACCGACGTGAAATTGAGCAATTCAACATTAGAGAAAGGGAAAGAGCGGTACGTTTGGAGGTCGCGATGAGAAAGCTCGAAGATACAAAGAAGGAGCTCAGAGTTTCGAAGAAGTCTGCCAATACATTGTGGACAGTAGTTATTGTGTTTCAACAATGCTGTTCATTTAATTTTATGTTTCAAGTAGATTTATACCTCCATAAGATTTTTTTGTGTTTTAAAATATTTTCTTTTATTTTGAACTAAATTGGAACATTCATCGGCTTGAAAGTCTCTCCTCTTGGTCACCAGAATCAGCTAAGACAGACGTATGGAATGGAAAGATCGGATTCGTAACATCCTGTGGCTATTTCACTGCATTTTGTTGAGTTTTTTCTTTTGAATTTTTCGGCTGTGAAGATGATTCGACATTAGTTTTTAACTAATGTTTTCTTATCTCACTGCCGGCTCGTCTACTTGTTACCTTTTCCTTTACTCGACATTTTACTTTACCAAGCTTGGAGATTACTATAGATAAAAAAATCCAACTATATATAACAACACTAATACTAATGTTGATATTAATAAATTTATCTCATTCATACAAATGTTAATACAAATTTTACACAATCACTAAATTAAAATTTCATTTATCTTCAAGAAATTATTTTTAAAAATTATTTAGAATGACTTAGAATTTTGAAATCATGTTCTAAAAATTACATATAACATCGTCTCATGTACATGCATTTCGTCTATCATTTCCAAAATTTCACATTCGCCATTCATATCTCCAATAACAATTCATTCACATGTACACAAATATTTCATCAATAAATTCAAATCTCCATTCAACAATTAGTTAACATGTGCACAAATATTCCATCAATAAATAATATCAAACTGAAACCTATACAAGAATACTCCACATTGTCAAGAAATTATTTATTATTTTCCCCCTTGTACGTTTTAGAATATAGACATTAGTTTTTTTAGTCTTATTCCCAAGTGGCCAATTCCTTGATTTGATGATTTGCTCGATGTACAACAACTTGCATATCAATGCGCTTTGGGAGATCAATCTGGCAGTTGAGTATCTGAAAGCCAGATATGACTGTATGAGGAACTTTTTACTGGAGTTTGAGGGATACTAGGATAAGGATGGGGACTTTAACGACGAGTAAGTCGCCTTCGTGGGCAGCCACGTGTAGGGAAGTCTGTCGAGTTCATTATGGGCATCCTAAGATGGCAAATGGGCCCCGGTGTTCTGTGTCGATGAACATGTAGAATGGCTGGAGAAACGTATGAACAATAATAACGCTTTGGCTAGTATATACTGGTGCTTTGAACCGTGCATTGGTGATTTTAAGGATAATATAAGTTGTATATGTAAAAAAAGGTATTAGTGATTAAAGTATTGCAACCACTCCCATTCAGATTTGTAACCAAACATAGTAGATGATTTGAACACTATGTAATCAGCCATGATGGCTTTTCAAAATCTTAATAAGGATTGAGAAAGGTTGGTTCCTTTTGATACACTGTAAATACTGTTGAACTTGTCGAAAGGCGATCCTTAATCTCGCTACTCTGTGTGTCTGCAAAGACGAAACAACTTGTTTAGTAGGATTTACAATGCTCTCAGCTACATATACACCATGCTGTAGAAGCCTGTAGTAAAAAAAAAAGCACCTTACTACGAACATCCTGCAGCAAACCGGAATTTTTTCGTGCATTACTAAACACTGAATATTTTAAGCATCATACTTAAAAAATTCCAAGAATGTATCACATGCTGCACATTCTAACAATTGCTTAAGTTGAATATAATTCAATGAAATTATTTTGATAGTGCACATTTTTGTCCTCACCTTGTATAATTGCCAAGAAAGAGCAACCTTTATGAGTATACAAGTTTATACAGTAGTATTAGAAAGATATAGGGCAGTTTATAGCAATTAATAAATGTTTGTCGTTGACATGGGAGCGTATTAATAAATTGAAGAAGACTCCCTAGAACAAGAACCAGACTAGCAACTCATTTTTTTTCTTTTGATATATATTCTAAGACGCCAACAATAAGGAACAAATTAAATGATGCATTGCAGAAGTTTCAAGAAAATAGCAAAAGGCTAAGAATAATGCACGTAGCAAGATACAACATTAGTAAAACACAAATATGTAGTCACAGATAAAACAATGACAACTATATAAGCAACACTCACATGAAAAGGCTAGAGAGCGATGAAGAATTTGGTTTATTGTCGGATCTGTGCGTACAAAGGTTCAAGCTGAAACCACGCCGCACAAAAATATGCCGAAAAAAAAAAAAGAAAGAAAAAACCACATCACACGAAAACAAATTCGTCACACAAAAACTTGTTACAAGTAGTGTTTGTTTACTCACAAATTGATAAAGCAAAGAGTTGTCAGTAACAATAAAAATCTTCTTCAAGTCGAGCGGAGCGGCCAAGTCGAACCCTTCAATTAGAGCTTCAAAATCCAAAAGCTCCGGATTCGCTTGCCCCTCTTTCCCCCTGCAAAATTTGCTCACCCCAACACCACCCGCAACTCCCTCGGTTAAACACTTTACATAAACCCAAAAACTCGAGCTTTTGATGGTGTTATTATATAGCTATTATTATTACCTGACGAATGCGAGACCTCACAGTAGGGCCTATTCTTTTTTTTTTTCAAAACGATAGGATTATCTCATAGCCAACAAGAAAAGATTACAAGGTGAAAATCCGAGTCTACCAACGGGTAGAAGAACACTGGGAAACCCACTGAAAACAGTGGTTTACAAACA